TCTATTCGACATTGTTGAGGCCTCATCTGGAATACTGTGTCCAGTTTTGGGCCCCACACTACAAGAAGGCTGTGGAAAAATTGGAAAGAGTCCAGCGGAGGGCAACAAAAATGATTAGGGGTCTGGAGCACATGACTTATGAGGAGAGGCTGAGGGAACTGAGATTGTTTAGTCTGCAGAAGAGAAGAATGAGGGGGGATTTGATAGCTGCTTTCAACTACCTGAAGGGGGGTTCCAAAGAGGATGGAGCTCGGCTGTTCTCAGTGGTGGCAGATGACAGAACAAGGAGTAATGGTCTCAAGTTGCAGTTGGGGAGGCTTAGGTTGGATATTAGGGAACACTATTTCACTAGGAGGGTGGTGAAGCACTGGAATGGGTTATCTAGGGAGGTGGTGGCGTCTCCTTCCTTAGAGGTTTTTAAGGTCAGGTTTGACAAAGCCCTGGTTGGGATGATGTAGTTGGGATTGGTCCTGCTTTGAGCAGCAGGGTTGGACTAGATGACCTCCTGAGGTACCTTCCAACCCTGATATTCTATGATTCTTCCCTCTTCTCAGCTTACTTTGCTTAAGAGCTTTTGCTGAGGGACCTCATCTCAGGCCTTCTGAAAATCTAAGTACATGATATCCCCTGGATCCCCCTTCTTGGCATCACTAGACATAGTTACCAGATAACTTGGGGGGGTGGAAGGCCATAAGTGCCGATGAAACCCCCCTGCTCTGGGTCTAAGTGAGCCACAGTAACTCCATCTTGTGTAGCCCCCATGCTAACAGAACAAAGGGGTGTCCTTCCATGGGCAGAGGATATGAAAGGCCCTAGAAACTCCTCCATCTTGTCTTCAATCCTGCTTCTGACCTCTGGAGGGACCTTGCTACAACCTGAAGCTCTGAACAAAGGACTGAGGACCCATCCCAGCTGGGGATGTTCCAGAGACTTGATTTGAACCTGCAGTTTATTCTATCTCTGCTACAAGCCTGAACCAAGAACTTTGCCATCGCTGTATGTAATTGATTCCATTTAACCAATTCTAGCTCTCATCTCTATCTTTTTCCTTTTGTGAATAAACTGCTCTGGCGGCGGGGAGTGGGACAGGCTGTGCAAACCTGTGCCTGGGGCCAGACCCCTAGTCGGCCATGGTGGTTCAGCGCTTTCCTGGCAGGGATCAGTTCCCATAGGCACTGCTGCAGGGTGTGATGGTGAGCGGCTCTCCTCCCCAGAGCCCCCGGGACCCAAGCCCTGCAGAGCTCGGCTGACGGCTTGGGGGTCATGCTAAGGGGGGAGCCCTCAGGGCACAGCCACCTGGGTAAGGTCCCCTCGGGGGGGGTGAGCCAGCACAGCAGGGGGGTCCTAGAGTTAGAGCCCAGGTCATGGGCTCGCACCCAGCTCCCTGGACTGAGCCCAGGAACGGGTCTGACTAACGCATGCTCCAGACAGTTTCCAGACTGGTGCTGAAGCCACCAGAAGACGGCGAACCCCCCACAGCCCCAGGCTGGCTGTGCCAAGGGTCAACGACCCTCAGCCTTAAACGTGGGAGGGTTCCGAACGGGCATTTGTCTGGCTTCAGCTTCCAGCCCTGGGCTCTTGTCCTGCCTGTCCCAGCTAGACCGAGGAGCCCTTCAGCGCCGGGACTCTGGCTGGGCCGGTGTCAGACGCTGAGCACGTCACCTGGCCAGCTGCTGCCGGATGGGGTCTCGCTCGCTCCCCGGCGTTTCCTCCAGCCCTCCAGTCATTGCTGTGACGCTTCCCGGCCCCCAGCATCCTCTAACCCCAGTTCCCTCAGCCTCCCCTTGTAAGTCATGTGCTCCAGCCCCCTGATCATTTTTGTTGTCCTCCGCTGGACTCTTCCAATTTTTCCACATCCTTCTTGTAGTGTGGGGCTCAAAACTGGACTCCAGATGTGGCCTCACCAATGCCGAATAGAGGGGAATAATCACGTCCCTCGATCTGCTGGCAATGCTCCTACTGATGCAGCCCAATATGCCGTTATCCTTCTTGGCAACGAGGACACACTGCTGACTCATATCCAACTTCTCATCCACTGTTATCCCCAGGTCCTTCTCTGCACAACTGCTGCTCAGCCAGTCGGTCCCTAGTCTGTAGCAGTGCATGGGATTCTTCCGTCCTAAGTGCAGGACTCTGCACTTGTCCTTGTTGAACCTCATCAGGTTTCTTTTGGCCCAATCCTCTAATTTGTCTCGGCCTCTCTGTATCTGATCCCTACCCTCCAGCATATCTACCATGCCTCCTAGTTTAGTGTCATCTGCAAACTTGCTGAGAGTGCAGTCCACGCCATCCTCCAGATCATTAATGAAGATATTGAACAAAACCGGCCCCAGGACCAACCCTTGGGACACTCCGCTTGAAACCGGCTGCCAACTAGACATGGAGCCGTTGATCACTACCCATTGAGCCCGACAAACTAGCCAGCTTTCTATTGAACGCAGCCCCCAGAGCTGGGCGCAAGATCCCAGGTCGGCCTCACCGTCACCATGTACAGAGGTTACCCCCCCACCTGCTCCCCTGTTTGTGCACCCCAGGGTCGCGTTAGCCCCCTGTGCCTCAGCATCACGCTGGGCACTCGTCTTCCGTCCATCCACTGTGACCCCAACTCTCCTCCCGAGTCGCTGCTCCCTGGACACAGCCCCGCTCTGCCCGCCGGCTGCGGTCCTGCTCCCCAAGGGGAGGCTCTGCCGCTGTTTGCCTGGGCCCAGCTTACCAAGCGATCCCGCTCGCTCTGTGTGCCAGGCCTGGGGATGCGGCAGGGTCCCCGCAAAGGGAGCGGGAGGCCCTAGGTACCTGCCCGGCTTGCTCCCCCCAGGACCCCTGGGCGGGGGGTGGGGGAGACAGCCACACACTCACCTTTGCTCTGCTCCGCCCCTTGCCCCTGCTTCACCTCCCCAGTCTGGGCCAGCCGGATGTTCTCGTAGGTGAGCTCCGCATCGTCCTCCTCTGCGAGCGCTGCAGGGAGGGGCAGACAGGAGGGGGCGCTGGTTAGTGGGCAGGCCTGGCTCAGGGCAGGGGG